CCAAGTTGAGGCTGAACTTTAAAATGAAAATTACAAAGAGAGAAAAAGCAATAGCACTGACGTTCACGGAGATTGTAGTTTTGGAATGGTGTTAAGTTGTATCCGACAACTTTTTCATCATCATCTTGTCGAAAGCCCAATTTTGTTTATTTATATTGCAAAGTTATGTAAAAACAGTTTTGATTTTTGTTTTTACATAGTTGTGTTTTTTTGTTTTTAGTAGCCAGTTTATTAATCGACTATGCTTATATCTCATAGTCGATTAATATACCTGCTAGAGAAAAAAAAAGTTAAAAAATGAAGAAAAAAAGTTTTAAAAAATTTAAAAAAACTAGAAAATCAAAAAAAAAAGAAAAAAAAGGTTGATGAGGTGGCGGTACATAATTGATGATAGTGTTCATGAGGTAGTTGGGGCATAATTGGAAAAATGGGTGGTTGAAATTAGGAAGGGGCTATTCTCAAATGGTGCAAAATAGTTTGGACCTCTTCCTATTAAAAGAAGTATTGAGGGGTTATATCAAAGAGCCCCCATTATATAATTAGGTCATTAGCAATAAGCCCCTCATATAGCTAGGGTTGGCAATCGGGCCATGTGAGCCGAGCTTGTGTCGGCTCAAGTTCACATACTATCGGGCCTCGTTACTATAGGCTAAAGCTCACGTACCATCGGGTCTCATTAGTATAGGCTCAAGCTCGACTTATGTATTTGTTCGGGTTTCGGGTTCATATGAGGCCCCATTACTATATAACTGTAATGAGTAAAAAAATTTATAAAAACAAGTGATGCCATTGAAGCCGATCCTAAAAAACCATAAACGATCTTTGTAAGTTACTAGAAAAACTTAGTAATAAGGCTGAAAGAAGTAAAAAAAGATTAGTAACACTTATTATCGGAAACGTTTATACTCTCAAATCTCGATAATAAATTCGTAATTGGATTTCGGTGGGAATGTAGCATTTAATTCCTATTTAACGTATTGCCATTGCCACCACTTCATTCCTTTTATTTTGACTTTTTTCTTTGCAAAATTAAATAATCTTATACGATCGTAACTTGTATGTTGAATCATAGCATTAAAATAATAAACATATTATATATTTTATTATTAACTCAATCGGTCGGACCTTATTCGAGTTGAGTCATAGTAGGCTCAAACTCGGCTCATAAATCAATGGAGTTTAGTAAAACGGCTCAAACTCGGCCCGACTCACTAAAAAGTAGGGCATATCAAATATAACCGGGCCGAGCCACCGGGCATCCATTAGGCCCGACTCAATTGCCCGTCCTACATATAGCTAAGAAATGGTGATATTTCCACCCCTTAAATCTTTCTTTGTGATAACCTCTAGAAATTTTATTCTCAATACCACCCTTCTGTCAATTAGCATAGTTTGTCCCAATTATTCTTTTTTCCCCTCTTCCCATCACAACAATCTAATTCATAAAAAAATGAATTTTCGATTCTTCATTTTTTATTATTTTCGAATTTATTTAGAATTTGTTTATTTTTTTTATTTTTTAATATTTTTTTTAATAAAAATATTTGGGTAAATTACACCCACACCCTTGAGGTATGCTTAAATATTCAAGGTCATATGATATCGATAATTATACTCACCCTCCTGAAACATTGTTAGAAACTCTAATGGGATACGTTATTCCGATAGAGTTCTAACAGACTATTACTTTTAGCCAGTGGTGGAGACAACAAAGAGATATGGGTGATTTAAGAAATGTTAGGGGAATCATGTCACCTCCTAACTCTATGTTGTCTCCATCACTTGGTAAAATTAATAGTCCGTTAGAACATTATGGGAATAACGTATCGAATGCATTATCCCATTAGAGTTTCGAACTATGCTTCAGGGGGTTGAGTGTAATTATCGATACCACAGGGACCTTAAAGTTATTTAAGCATAACTCAGGGGTGCTGGTGTAATTTTCCCAAAATATTTTTTACTTTTATCATAATTTTTTTTAATTTTTTTTAAACAAAAAATTGAATTATTTTTCTCGAGAGGTTTGCTACGCCGAATATGACTATAGTTGAATATGAATATAGTCGAGGGCCTCATTTGGTTCGTGCGATGGGTTTGAATGCGATTTCTATCAACCCACTAGGATTACACTTTAGGGATACAAATTAAATTAGTTAATCTCATGTTTGGTTCGACTGTTTCAGCTTCAAGATAGATGTCTGGACTGGATCATTCCCGCGTTTGGCTCAATGGTTAGGGTTGGATAAGTATAGAAAAACCTATATTGCCCAACCTGTATAGTCCATGCTTGATGTGCATAAAGGCTCCCAACCCCTATAAATGAATTATTTCCATTCTTTTCCAGTTTTCTGTCCCTTTTTTTTTTGAGTTGTTGCGAATATCTGTACTAAATACGAAAATTTTATTCTAATATTATTAATCGGATGGGTAGCAACAGTTCAAACGGTTTTCTTGGACTGAGACGAAGTGTGGCGTCTCAACACCACATTACCACATTTTTTTAACTCAAATTAAAGTAATTCAACTTGATTATACGCAACATTGAGCAGTACATAAATTCAAACAGCCATAGCACAACTGCTGCCACAAAAGTTGTTAATCTGGTAACTAGCAATCACTATAACATAATTAAAACAAAATACTTATTCACATACAGAAACTACTCATTCGAGTCCCATCCGCTTTACTTCTTAGATGAGTTTGGTCCCCACCCAAAGTCAACATTGGCGCTGACGGAACGGCGGTTGTACTGCATACGCTTGTGGGTGTGGCCACAAGGCTTCTTCTTTGGGTCTTGCACTCCTGCTTCCTTGGGAGTCTGTCTTCTCACCTTTCCGGCACGAGCCAACGAACAGTGTACCTTGCCCATGTTTGTGTTTGATTGATTAACAACTTCCCCATCTTCTCTTTTGTTTTATTTTATTCAAGCAATTACCAGCAATAATTGATAGTTACATATGTTTTCTCATGATTTTGCTAAGAATAGAAATGTTTGTACTAAATTGCTCCAGATAATAACAAGCATAAAGGGATCTTAAAAGCTAATAGCCATAGGAATTCATTGTGCTGCATCAACTGAATTACTTCTAAGTGCATATATTTAATGTGTTTCGAAAGCAGTTAACAAGGCAAATAGTTTCTTGTTAAACACAAATTACAGTTACGAAGAAGTAAACAATTAAGACATTTAACTTCAGCAAACTCCTTCATCGGTAGCAACAAAAAGAACCTTTCAATGTTAGACTAATTAATAAAAATCCTACTCATTGATTTTTTCGGTACCTTTCTTTTATTTTCATTTTGTTTTATGCAATCCACTTCTAGCCCAGATTGCACCACAAGATACACCGACCTTCTAGTTTGACATAGAAACAAACAAGGCAATGAGGCATTGTTATTACTCTTGTGTAAAAATATCTAACTAAGAGTAATCACAAACTATTTATCTAGCAAAAACTGACATTATTAAAACTTTTTCCGACTGCCTTCCACAAATTTCCTTGTGCTCCAAGAGCTCATTGAGTTGATTAACGGAAATATTGGCTTAACTCCCATTAAAAAAATTGCATCTTATTGGGAATCGAAACAATACGCACATTACAAGTATTTAGAGCTCATTTTCTCATACTGGCTTGTGCCAATTGTGGAAGGAAAAATCAACAATCCAATTTCTTTGCCAAAACTAATTGCAGTGGTATCATCGTGTTTTGCATAACTTACGACATATACATAATGCAGTGTGCAAAGACATTAATAATATAAGGGTAAATTACAAACACCCCCCTGAGGTATGACCAAATTACAAAAACACTCTCTTGTTTGGATAATTACAACCACCCCCCTCAACTCATCAAATTTAGTAGAATCTTCGAGATTATATGGAATATTATCACTTTTGTACCCGTTTTATCCCATTCAAACTCTACATTATGAAGCAAATTGACCATAATATGTGATTTTTAGCTTGTATATATCAGTTTGTGGTGCATCGAAAACTGTATTTTTTACACAAAGAGTACAAACTAGAGCACATTTCACGGAATCTAGATGACTATGTTGAATTTGGCACCATAAAGGTAAGAAAAAATCATAGTTGAGGGGGGTAGATGTAATTATCCAAACAAGAGGGGGGTTTTTGTAATTTAACCATACATCAGGGGGGTGTTTTTAATTTACCCATAATATAAAAGACCCATGTGAATTTTACTTTAAAGTCAAATTTAGCAGCCCTTATACTATTGAATTTGGGAGAGAGAACCTTTTTTCCCCTTTTTTTCTAGCTAAATTTTCCAATACGAAATTTTTTCAAATGCGATTTTTTTATTCAACTTTTTCATCTCATTTGATATAAAAGATTCATATAAGGGGCCATTTGATATACACCCTTAGAATGGAAAATATATAGGGATAAGTCCACCCCTAAAATTCTTTCTTTGAGATACACCCCTGGAGATGCAAAAGTACTATTGTGCCCTTATTTGTAAATTTTAACCAACTGCATTCAGCTTTTCCAACTGCATTCAGCATTATAGCTAACTGCACTCCACACATTTAGACCTGCATTTATCATTTTTTCAGATTTTTTAATAAAAAATTATAAATTTTGATTTTATTATTATTTTTTTATACGTACCCTCTTTTTGTATTTTTTTATTTTTTTTTAATTTGTTTAATTTTTTATTTTTTAGTTATTTTCTATTTTTAATTTTGTTTTTTTAATTTTTTTTTTTAATTTTTTTAATTTTTTTAATTTTTAATTTTTTAATTTTTTTTTTAATTTTTAATTTTTAATTTCCTGTACTGAAATTGACTACACATGACTATAGTATACCACAGTCATGTATAGTTATATGTAGCCATGTACTGTTTTTTTATCCCAAAGTTATGATCGATCGATTATAAAAACCGTTGATTATATATATAAAAAATCATCTATACCAATAAAAAAATTCAAAATTTGATTCTTAATATTATAAACAATTTAATGCCTAACAAAAAAGTGAAAAAAAAAAAAACGCAATCATCAAGATAATTATACATTAGAAAAACCACATACCTTGTATATAAATATATATAACTACATGGAACTATACACGACTACAGTTATCTATACGACTAAATTTGACTCAAATCGCTCGCACTTGTCAACACGAGAACCGCTTGTTTTGAACAACGAACACAATCCACTCCGCAAAAACTTACTACATAGTAGTTCAAACACCAAGATCTGTGAAAAAACTTACTACATTGTAGTTCAAACACCAAGACCTGTGAAAAAGAAAAAGAGTTAAACAAACAACAAATTTTGCTTCAAATTTAAATGTGCACACACGCACTATCACCTACTGGTATACATAGATACTCCCAACATAACCCATACATGACTACATATGACTACATGACTACATAGTTTACATATAACTATATATTACTACATGTGACTACACCATATATTACTGTATGTTACTACACGTGACTATATATTACTACATGTGACTACACCATATATTACTGTATGTTACTACACGTGACTATATATTACTAAATGTGACTACATCATATATTACTGTATGTTACTACACGTGACTATATATTACTAAATGTGACTACATCATATATAACTGTATGTTACTACACGTGACTATATATTACTATATGTGACTACACCATATATTACTGTATGTTACTACACATGACTATATATGACTACATGTATATGACCACATGTGACTATATACATGTATGTGACTTTATTTGTCCCTTCAAGTACCTGACTTTGTTCTCCAGGCGATACGAGACAGCTTATATTATCAAAATCAAATTACAAACAGAGTATGCTAGTCATTATTCTTCGTATAACCAAAGGTCAAAGATCAAAGCAAGTTGAAGTGGAACACCATAGATAAAATTCACCAAGAAATTGATTACAGGAAAAAAAAAATCAAACACAATACAACTAAAATTATTAATAAAATTAAAATCACACACAAAAGCCATTTCTACTTTTGATAAATTTAATTTAGTAAACTATAATCTCATGTAGTCAACTATAGTCTCATATAATTATGTGCTTTTTATTACTACATGTGACTAATTTTGATTATGTTAGGTGCAATTGGAATTTGAACTCCCACCACATCTTGGAGGCACTCAAATCCCTGTTCTTATAGTTGTACCTTAACCATGGACTCGGAAATTAAAACTATAAACATAAGTAATAAAAGACAGCAGCCATAGCCACAACTTCAATAAACAAAGAGAAAATAGGCAAACATGTAATTGATTAAATATGCATAGCAGAGGGTGAATTTATGAGAATACCCTCTCAAAATCATCTTTCTCTCTCCATTTTTCCTCTGCATTCATTTTATTAATGTATATATTGAACAATTGGAACAGGAAAATCTCTAAGAAAATAATAATTTAATTAAATATGACGAAAAAAAGACTTACGCCAGATTATCACCAGGGGGAGTTGTCTACCTGGAACGCGATCTCGTGCAACGGACTATGGATCTCGTTCTCCTCGTAATCGTCGTCGATCTCCTTTCGGCGATTCTCCTTGCCGACGTTATCTTCTTGCCGATCTTCGGCTTCTTCTGGGCTGCCGCCGCGCCGCCGTCGCTTCACGTCTTCCACCGATGCACCACGGGAAGAAATTGTCAATCGGGTGGCGGAGAAGAACGGGTGGTGCTCCGACGATGTGAAGCCACGCAGACCGCCGTTCCCCACCGTGATTCCTGGAACGCCGCTGCTCTCACCGCTCCGTCTCTCATGTTATTTTCAGATCTGGTGGTGGTTAATTTCGAAGAAAAAAAAGAGTGAACGAGAGATAGAGAGGAGAGATGAAGAGAGATAGTAAGAGAGTGATGTAACGGCGGTTGTGGGTTTGATCGAAGAGAATGTTAGGGTTAGGGTATATATTAATTTAAATTAAAAGGGTAAAATAGGTATTTTAAATTGTTCAGGGGGGTCTCACTAATTAAGATCAGAAATTGGGTTTTTGACTAGGAGAGAAAAATTTGTTGGACCTCCTCATATATATTTTCAAAACAAAGGGGGTATCACTCATTTACCCTTCATATAAATCATGAACGTCCAGATTCCTCAAGTAACAAAAGGAGAAATTTGAAAAAATAAAATCCACATAAATTCGGAAAATTAACACCGGGAATCACACGCCAAAGAGAAAAAAAATGCGGCTATATGGATACACACCTACATACACCCACATAAAGATAAATGAGTATGTATGGATACACACATACACACACACCTGAACTGTAGATGGTTGAACTCTGCTTTCAGCTGTAACAAATCGTAGTCGGGGAAACAACTTACGGTTTCCACGCAGTTCTGTACGCTCCTCGCAATTCTACCGTTTCTAAAATAAGGTGACGTCAGATTCCGGCGACGGGCATGGGTTCACGTTGAATTCCAGTGGCTTTTCGTCGAAAGTCAATCAGATAGGGGAGAGAGAGAGGCATTAGGTCGAGAGGATTCGATTTGAGGGTGACAAATGTTTTATGGGTTAATGTCAAAGAGGCCCATGACAAGGGCACTTAATTAAAAGAGCCACATCGAACTTTTTTGTCTTTCAAATATTTTCACTTCATTCAAATTTATTTGCAAATAAGGAAAATCCTTTTATATATACCAAAATTATCCCGAATTCCTTGAAACCTAATTCAACTTCAATTTCATAATTTACACCTCAATTTAGCCAAAATTCACCAATTAACCAATTTTGATCCCTATTCTAATTTTGACACCAATTTTGACCCGCCACCACCAGAGACCATTGGAACAAAAATTGGTCTAAGGTTTCGGGGCAAAACCTTTCTTTTATATATAAAGATATCGTCTTTCTTCACCATAATATAGTAGCATCATCATCATTCCAAGCTTGGAATGGTGTTCAGTTGTATCCCACAACTTTTTCATCATCATCTTCTCGAAAGCACAATTTTATCTATTTATATGCAAAGTTATGTAAAAATAGTGTCGATTTTCGTTTTTACATAGATTTTTTTTTTTTGTTTCTTAATTGACTATGATTATATCTTATAGTCGATTAATATACCTGATGGATGAAAAACAAGTTACAAGATAATTTTAAAAAAATTAAAAAATTAAAAAAAATAAAAAATAAAAAATAAAAAAACGGCGGATGAGGTGATAAGGGCATAATTGGAAGATGACAGAAATTAGGAAGAGACTTTTCTCAAATGGTGCAAAATAGGTTAACCCTTTCCCTATTAAAAGATGTATTGAGGGAGTAATATCAAAGAGCCCCATTATATAATGACCTCATTAGCGAAAAGATCAAGATATTGATAAAATATTTAAAAAAAAAACGTGCGTGGACTTACGTACTTAAGCCAGCATTCTTGATTTTTTGTTTGTAAGTATCGGGAGAGAAGCATCCCTTCTCGTATGGGCAATAAAACCAAATTTTACATTTCTTGGGGAAATTAGATGTTACACCTGGTTCTTTACATTGTGTGGATTTAAATCATAGATCTACACATAATCGCACATACACCCATGTTCACCCATGTTTATGTGTGCTTAGTGGGTAGTTGTTTAACCAAATCTACGATTCAAATACACTCGGTGTAAATAACCAAGTGTAGCATCTTACTCCCTCATTTCTTGCCACTCAGATTGGCATTTTGAAAGATTAATCTACACCACCGATTATTTTATAGATATACTATGGATAATATATATTTTTAGATTCGTTCATGTATTATGTGCTTATTAAATATTTGTGTTTTACTGTGAAGCATTTAAATATTTGTGTTATTATTATATATTAATAGTTGCGTGCTTATTAATATTTGTTTTTCGGTTAATATTACAATTATTTTTTTTATTTTTTTTTATTTATGTACGTGAAAATAGTTCCAACACTCGTGCTCGCAATCTTCGTCTACCGGTATGGGTTGAACGAGCATAATATTATGCAATTTGAAGACAACATTTAGGACCCTCGAAAAGTACAGATACATGCCTAGTGGCTCCTAAACCACCCCCATTTTGAAGAAGGTTGAATAAACGGCTAAATGTATCCATATTCATTCGCAAATTTCGACATACATTGTCACTAGTTCCAATTATGTAAGTCAAATTTCGAACTTGAGCAGGTATCCTACCCCTCATACTATACGGTAGACCCACCCTCATACTATACGATAGACCCACAATATTATTGACCCGTCGGCGATGTAGAAGCAAATGGATGAGTCTACTAGGCATTGTTAACATTACTTCATTTGTTCGATTAATTCATGCACCGCGAAAACTACTCCATGTTTTGCACTCGTGTTCGCCATTAACAATTGTGATCCTATTTAGTAGACAACATAAAAAATGCTACGATTATAATTATAGTAATAGATTGATTGTAGCACCCCCCTTCTTATCGGGCGATAAATCAAACCGGTTTATCGGAATACACTTTCATATAGCGAAAACAAAAGGATCTGGTTGTAATTTTTAAAACTTTGGAATGGGACAAAAATGAAATTATTAAAAATCTCTTCTTTAGGACATTTAAAACCTTTTGTGATTTTCGAAAACTTTCATAGGTGTATTTTAGTCGACTAAATGTTTCATTTGGAAACAAGTTTCGAGATAGGTTTTTCGTTCGAGTGCTACACTATCAAACTATCGATTTTATTTTGGTTCGAAAAGAAATCAAAGTTTTGAAAGGTATGTTGGTGAACAATTCGAAAAATAACAAATTTACTAAACGTACTGTTTTATAATAAAAGTTGAGTACAATCCATACCGGATTTGAGTTCGAAAGATACGAAAAGGGAAATACTTAGGTTTAATATTACATCACCAAAAGAAAAACAAAACTACTTTAGCATCGTTCATAGACCCTGGTACAACTTCCAAAATCCCGGGCAAGACCTCGATCCGCTACTCGATCCATTCCGGTGGAGGGTTACTAACACTACTACCTGCAATTAAAAGGCATCTATATGAGCTATAAAGCTCAATAAGAAATCCGATTAAGTATCAAACTTTGAAAATACGTTATATATAATATATAAGATTATATAGCCGTCCTTACTCACATTCCAAACTCCATAAGGCAAACAGTTTACCACATAATTCACGAACACATATCATTTACACGTAACCACGTACTTATGCGCAATGACTAAAATTCCTTTTTTATGAAAATCGTGAAAAACACATTTTTTGTTTTATCGGATCCGTGAAACATTAATTTATGTACTTGAATAATAAACCAGTTACGAGCCCGTTTTCACTAGTGGAATCAAACCACACATTTCATCCTAGTCGGATACCGGCCCTCTATATCCGAGTTTGTTTATTATCTGGCATTCCATTAAGCTTTCAAATTTAAAAACCGTGAAATGCATCTTTTTCAAAATTATGCTCACAAATGTCAATCAAGTACCACATAACCACACAAATATCCACAACTTACCACATATTTATAACTTGGGCAATAATTCTCAAATTCACACACATAAACACACATAGCCACACACGGCACACACACACCTACACATTCAGCACACACACACACATGCAACCAACACATTAATACATCTCATTTAATACCCAAATCATACTTGAAAAGCAAGGGTCCTCTTTATCTTTAATTTAATGAACTTATTACCACTTCTAGGAAATAATTCATTCCAATTAAATTCCAGCAGCAATTAACTCATTCATATAGCGGAAGCAAATGGATCTCTTTGTAATTTTTAAAACTTTGGAATGGGACTAAAATAAAATTATTAAAAATCTCTTCTTTAGGACATTTAAAACCTTTTGTGGTTTTCGAAAACTTTCTTAGGAGTATTTTAGTCGACTAAATGTTTCGTTTGGAAACATTTTTGGAGAGGAGGTTTTTCTTCGAGTGCTACACTATCAAACTATCGATTTTATTTAGGCTCGAAAAGAAATCAGGGTTTTGAAAGGTATTATGGTGAATATTCCGAAAACTACTAGTGAGACGTGAAAAATAACAAATTTACTAAACGGACTGTCTTATAATAAAAAATTTGTTTTATAATAACAAATTTACTAAATGGACTATTTTATGCAGCCAACACATTAATACATCTCATTTAATACGGAAATCATGCTTGAAAAGCAAGGGTCCTCTTTATCTTTAATTTAATGAACTTATTACCACTTCTAGGTAATAATTCATTCCAATTAAATTCCAGCAGCAATTAACACATCCATGTAGTAAATTAAGGTTCATAATCCCAAGTTTCATCACTCGCCCAATCATTTATTCAAAGACATGGAAATTAAAGCACAAGACATAATAAATGGCATGCATCATGTCATAATTTCCAAATAATAGCAAACCAATTCCAAAAATTCTCAAATTAATTCCTAGAGCTCCTAACTGATCCAAGTTTTAATTTCTGAATTTTTTTTAAATTTTCATAAAGTTTCGAATTTCCTTAGAATTAAAAACTAAAAAGTTTCTTTTTCTTTTAAAAATCCAAAACTCTAGTATAACCTTGATTAACTTTGAAACCCTTATAAAGAAAACTTTCTCCCCATTTAATTCTTCCTGGAAAACAGATTTCCAAATTAAGAAGTGACGGATTTTTTGGAGAATGCAGTTTCGACCCCAAAGTTTCAAGCTTTACACATGCAACCACACTAAAAGTTCAAAATCCAATTTTCATGAAAAGCCCTAGCAATCTGAAATTTTACTTTAATATATGCAGAAGACAAAGTTAAAAGTTACTTGAGGCATAATTTTCAAAATTACATATTTTACGCCAAAATTTCTAGATCTATACATGCAAGATCACTAGAAGTTCAAAAATTAAATTTTCTTGCACAACCTTTTTAAATCCGAAAATTCTACTCAATAAATTCTGAAAAAATATTTGAAAACATGTTTAGGACTGACTTCTTGAAATTTACGGATTTGACCCAAAAATCCTTAGATCTACACATGCAACCCCATAAAAGTTCAAAAAATCATTTTTCTTGCAACACCCTTTAGAAATCCGAAATTCTTTATGTTTTTTACCA